TTGTTCATTTATCATACTTTCTTTTTTCTTTCTTGCCTGCTTTATTCTGTGTTTTCCAGTTTCATTCTTTACTTGTTTTCATGGTTGCTCACCTTGTTTTTTGTGCACTGGGCAAATGAGTAGCAGTGAAAGGGTTAAGAAATATAAACGGCGACAATTTACCTATCGCACCCCGTCAAAGGCATTGTTGAGGAACGCAATACTCCTTCACTATCCCAAGACTTCCAACAACGCGGCTGATCGATAAAGATCGCTTCGATCACAGACCTGTCCTTACCCCACGTTGTGATTTAATTTTGATCATAAGGAGGCCAAGACCGAATCGTCGCAGCTATCTTCGAGTTGGGCGCGAACAAATAGGATGAAGGCGTACAGGAAAAAAATAACACTCGAATAAATTGAACAAAAAATAAATGCTTTTATATCAGTCTTTCGTACAATAACTGGATATATCAGAGTTCTCACGAAATAACTGTCAGCCCGACCCGCCTCTATATCCGGAGTGATACTATCGTTGTTTACTTGGCAAAGTTTAGTTTGCTTCGTTGGTAAAGTTTGGCACAAGGCTGAAGTCTGAGGCTTTCGTCGGCAGATAATCACGTGTGCCTCTCTTCTGTCTCTGGTATTGTCTCCGTCTCTTTTGACTTTTTTATCTTTTCTGCCTAATCCGCTTCTCGCATTCATATTTATGGACATTTGCCCAAACTGCCAAAGTAAAAGAAGTCGATAATTACTAAGAATTCCCTTCTCCCCCTCTCTCACATTATTACCCCTCGCTTAATCTCCTCAGTGAGAGTGGGTGGATTATCCACCCTTTCCTGGTATTCCAACTGAACTTTCGACCAGGGGATTCAATTCCAAATTCGTTGTTTCCGATAAATGAAGTTTTCGCTTTACAGCTTGCATTTTCAGCTGCGTAGAACACATGTCAATCATCATTGTCTCAAAAGTCTGGGTCATTTTTCCATTGTTCAAACTGCTCGACAGACAATTCAAGTCGTTTATGTGTGAATTAAATTCTCAATTCTTTCCACGGTTTTTCGGTATTGACCATTCCTTGTTTCAATGTCACCCAGTACATAAATCTTATGTCTTAACAAAAAGTTCTTCCGTTTTACCGCGGCAAAGACACATCACACTCCAGTCATGTCCTTCTCTCAATAAAACCCAGGACCTGGACAATAAAGCGAACTTTTTTAATGTTAAGCTTAACAGAATTTTTATAAATAAACTGGCACTTTCTTTGTTGATTAATCAGCAAACAGAAAATACTTAATATTTGCAGTAATAATGTTGAGCGTAAATATGTTTTATAAGTATGGAGGGATTTTACCTAGCTTCATTAATTTAACAATCTTTATTATTTTCATTAGACGTGATTTGATCTGAGTTCCTTCATGTGGCTAGCTTGCAACTCTTGCGAATAATTTTCGCCTTGTTTGTTACCTCGGGGTAGAACAGTTTGTAGCAAGTTCATGATTGAAAATTGACATCGTAGATACGTTGTATTTTGGTTGCGGGATATGCGATGTGATCGTATTATAGTAACGTTGTAGTCAAATATTTTTCTGACCCAAAATTGACCCGTCATCCCCAACAATGTCACAATGCTTTGGTAACTTTGCAAAAGATTCTACTTGAAAAGATCAACACCATAGTTAAATAATATCAGAATACTCTTTCTTAAATATGTATAGAAGTATTTACACTATTTATATAATTCAGACTGTTGTTTTCATCTTTATTATCAAATTAACGAAATTTTGGCCGTTGTATGTTTCTGCCTTCTTCAGGATCTGTGTATATTTCTGAGATGACGTAGTTTAACAATTTACACTATTTACATAGTTCTGACTGTTGACCTCAATTTTATGGCCACATTCACGACGTTTTGGCCGTTTTACGTTCTGCTATCTTCAGGATCTGTCTATATTTCTAAGATGAAGTATTTCAGTATTTACCCTATTTACTTTGTTCGAACTGTTGTTCTCATCTTTATTCCCACATTCACGACGTTTTGGTCGTTGCACGCTCCGGTCTTCTTCAGGATCTATCTATATTTCTGATATGACGTAGTGTAACTATTTACACTATGTACATTGTTCGGAGTGTTGTACACATCTTTATTGTCACATTCTAACGTTTCAGCTGATTTACGGTCCGGCCTTCTTCAGGTGATACTTTTTGGAATTTCGAACCTTCCATTTCTCCTATAAAATATTGAGAACTTGCGTGGATTTCGTACTGCGATTAAATTCATAAAGCCTAAGTACCACAGATTAAAGCATCTCAGAATAATTATTATGATAAAAGGCACAGGTAATTTACATTACAGCAGTAAATAAATGATTGAATCCGAGATCCCAGGTCAGATTTCAGATTTTTTATTTACAAACTCCAGATGAAATATATAGAAACTCCAGATGAAATATATAGAAACATTAGATGAAATATATAGAAACATCAGATGAAATATATAGAAACATTAGATGAAATATATAGAAACTCCAGATTAAATATATAGAAACACCAGATGAAATATATAGAAACATCAGATGAAATATATAGATACTCCAGATGAAATGTAATAACAATATTCTATGCATGGTTGAATGCTAGACTTATAATTGTCGAAAGCAAGAAGCCGGAAAAGAGTTCCACAAGCGAGAAGGGCAAGAGAAAAAACAGTAAGCATGGTGCTTATAGTTATATCCTCCGATTGAGACTTAACAGCCAATCTAGTACAGCGCTTAAATCCATGTCTAGGTACCATGCAGGAAAATTCATGCGAACAATTACCATGAAACTACTTACAGAAATATCACTGGGAATCTACATTAGGGCAGTAAGAAAGTGGGTAAAGCCGAGATGCCAGGTCACGACAAATAGCATTTCAAATTCTTCTTCGAATTTTATCAAGGATCTTTAAATATATAGCAAGAGCACCGGGCCATATGTGACAAAAATATGCGAGGAATGGAAGATTGGTAGACTTATAAATATGTAAGATAGATTCTGTCGAGAAAAAATTGTCTATGACGACGCAGCGACGCAACATACCTAGCCGCAGAGCGAGGAATAGCTTCAATAAAACCTCCTCTCTTCATGTCAGCAGAAAACATTAAGCCGAGAAGGCGGAACGTGTCACCCGACTGGAGGTTAGCATCAGCCATGCTGATGGAAAGCGAAAAGGGATCTCTCAGATGATTGATAAAGAGCAGTTTCGTTTTTGAGGCGTTAAAATAAACAAACCTTTCCTTGCCCCAGTTAGCAACAGATTGTAGGTCATTTTGCGGATCAGCTACCGATTTCGTTTTATCTAATTTTCGCCTCCGCCTAAAGAAACAAAAACAACAACAAAAAAAAAACCTGTTTAAACCTACAAAACTACCGCCGTATCATTGACCAGCAATCGACCAGAATCGGATTATCTAAGGAAGATCGAACATAAGCCAATGAAACCTCTTGATCACTATTTTGTTTTTAAATGAAACATAAAAAAAAAAACAGTGATTTCAGAGCGACATATGGGAGGCAAGAGGGATACTGGAATGCAGCCTGGTAAGTGTTTGATACGGTGGACAGAGAGTTGCGTATTTCACATTTGTCTCCCGGACGATAGTTTACCAGTGCCTCCATGGACATTTGCGTCCCTAGACAAATGCGTCGCTGGATAATTATGTAGCTCTGATAATTTTTGAAGAGTTTTTTTTTTAATATAGAAATTTGCATACCAATACCTTTAATTACTCTAGAAAATGGCAAAACGGTAGTTAACATAAATAAAAAAAAAAAAAAATCAGAGAAAAAATTATTTTTTAAAACAAGAGAAAATTAAGCTAGCAGTTTCAGATCATTCCAGTAATGCGTGCCACAAACATCTTATACATTCTGGATTTTATAGATTATATTTTTATTTGGAAACCATGGCTAACTTCGGAATATCAAGCACTCGTGGAAAAACATTTGTGGACGAGTTAAATTACAGCTACTACTATCATAAAAAAAAACACCGATGAAACAAAGACATACTGGCGATGTGTAATGCGATCTTGCAACACAGTGTTAATCATGCCATTGCATTTTAAACTAAAATAAACTTTTAATTTTTTTTTATTTTATTCCTTTTTTTTTAAAAAAAAATTATGATTACTAACTATAATTTTTTCATAATTTATTGTAATTTCCTTTGAAATCATCAAAAAATTATCAGATGTACACAATTATCCAATGACGCATGCGTCAAAGAAGGCAAATATCTAAGGACGTAAATTGTCAGGAACGCAATTGTCTAGTACGCAATTGTCCAGAATGCAAATGTCCAATATGTAACTGTTCTGGAACCGCTTGACACAACACAACAGGGATAAGGAGATATAGCAAAAAGGCAAACATTACTAACAGCTACAAAAAACAGGATGTTGTGGAGAGTTATGATCGCCCACGTCCTGAACGGAATCATCACATACAAGAAATATATGTACGGCTGCAGAGACGTTTTAGCATGTCTATTTTGTCAGCTGAGTAAGCGTTGTGTTTTGTATTAATGTCACAAAGAAATGTGGACGCTTGTATCTCGAGCCTCGTTGAATCAGAACAATACATAACATATTTTATAGCAGCGTTTTTACTCTTTGCAATCATAATTTATCGAAGGTTTTATTCTCTCCGAAACAGTAAGTGAAATGAGGAAAGAGAATAAATGTAATAATACCAACAGCAAAAAGGAGAGAAAGGAATGCGAATGTTTACAAAAGAAAACTATAAAAAGAGAATAGCATATCTTCCATTTATTTTCTTAAATCGTCTGAGAAAGTTGAAACATTCGGAATCTACTGTTTTCGCTTGTTCTACAAGCGTGCGAAGTGATATGGAATACAATGAAATGGGAGTAATAAAAAGATTCTATTCTGTGACTACAGTTTTTTTTTGTTGTTGTTGTTTTTCACTGAAGGCAGCAAGGTGGGGTGCGGGAAATCGGGTTGATTCGAAGGTAATTGTCAATGAAAAGAGAGAAGCCGGAAAATATACGTAAAATAAAGGTAACAGTAGAAATGATGGGAACGAAGGAAAAGGGGAAGATGGAGATAAATAGAAAAGAAGATTCCGAGGAACTGGAAAGAAAGTAATTGAAAGAAAGAAAGAAAGAAAGAAAGAAAGAAAGAAAGAAAGAAAAGAAAAAGAAAGAAAGAAAAGAAAAAGAAAGAAAAATAGAGAGAAATATGGATAAAAATAAAGAAGGAAGAAGAAAAAAGAAAGACGTAAGAATGATAGAAAAAGAAGAAAGAAAGAAAGAAAGAAAGTAGAGAGCAAGAAATTAAGATAGATAGAAAGAAAGAAAGAAAGAAAGAAAGAAGAACGAAAGAAGAAGAAATATAGAAGGATAGAAGGAAAATAGAGAAAGAAGTCATAGATAGATAGATAGATAGATAGATAGATAGAAAGAAGAAAGAAAGAAAACAGAAAGAAACAAGAAAGTTTGAAAAAAGAAACAATAAACAAAAAATAGAAATATAGATAAAAATAAATAAATAAAGAAAGAATGAAAGAAAGAAAGAAAGAAAGAAAGAAAGAAAGAAACAGAAGGATAGAAGAAGGGAAGAAAAATAAAGAAGAAAGTGATAGATAGATAGATAGAAAGAAAGAAAGAAAGCAAGAAAGAAAGAAAGAAAGAAAGAAAGAAAAAGAAAGAAAGGAAGTAGAACGAAAGAAGAAAGATAGAAGAAAAGAAACAAAAAAAGAAAACTAGAGAGAAATATAGATAAAAATAAAGAAAGAAGGAAGGAAAGAACAAAAGAGATGGTACACCTGTAAGACTAAAGAAAGAAAAATCTAAATGAAAAAACGAATAATATAAAAAGGAAAAGAAAATAGAACCGTAAATAAAGAGGAATACACAAGGAAATAAAAAAAGAAATAAACAAGTAAAAATAAAATAAGTAAAAACCAAAGAAAAAAGAACGAAAGTAATCGTATACCTGAAAATGGAAAGGTAAAAAAATAAAACAATGAATAGTATTAGGAAAAACGAAAATAAATCGAAAAGGAATATATATATATATATATATATATATATATATATATATATATATATATATATATATACTAAAGTATATAATTGGTATACACGGAATGAATTCCAATAACCAACAATTACTATTCTTAAAAGAGTGCTCAATACAAAGTAGAGCAGATATAATTATTTTTATAAAAAAATTATAACATAAGTATGTTATAAAATCACTACAAAAATAGCCATTTTGTTTCAACACACTCTGTGTCTTATCGGTGTCTATGTGTATGTAGAGTGTATTCACATTTATCTGTGTGTGTATAAGTGTTAGTTTCCACGTCTCCTTTTTTCATAAAGGGCTGTAGAGATGTTCATGTATTCTCCCCCCACCTCTCCTTTTTTTTTTTTTTTTTTTTTTTTTAGTGTGTGTATGTTTGTGTGTGTGTGTGTGTGTGTATCTAATTATGTCTGGATGCTTATGTATTATAATCTGATTGTATTTTTGTTATGTCACGCGTGAGTTTAAGACCATATTCACAAACTTTAAAATAAAAACGGAAAAGAAAGGGAAAAAGAGAAAAATATATATACATGTATTATCAAATGACCGGATGTATTGTAGCGTATTGTCTTGTCGAACGTAATTTCAATGAAGAAATGAATTGAATAAATATATATATTTTTTCTTTTCTCAATAATTTTGTAGTTTTTAAACTTAATAGTGATTAAATTTGGTTTTTAAAAATTGCCAGTTTTTAATTTTAATATTAAATTTTATCATGTAAATTTATAATTATTAGTTAGTATAAATTATTTTTGATATTAAACGTATTTAAAGATCTGAATAGCTATTAGAGCAGGATTTCGTTGTCAAGCTTTTGAATCTTTCTATACTTCGTTTTTGATTGGTTATTCTAGCTTTTGTAACAATGTTTCCCCCTAGTGTAGGATCGTTAATTAAGCTGAAACTTTTAAAACCATTTATTTTCTTTTAACATCATCACTTGATAAGACACAGAGTGTGTTGAAACAAAATGGCTATTTTTGTAGTGATTTTATAACATACTTATGTTATAATTTTTTTATAAAAATAATTATATATATATATATATATGTTCCTTTTCAGGAAAAGCTATAGCTAAAACAAGAAACAGATAAAAAAAGAAGAAAGAATGAAGGTTAAACAATAAGAGAAAATATATGAGAAAAATATATATATATAAAATAGAAGGAAAGAAGAAAATAGAGATATATTGTAATAAAGCAACAACGCTTTCCATGAAAGATGTTAAGGTGTGCAACATTCCTTATTTCGACCAGTTCACTGATTAGCATACCTTTCATATTCCATTCGTAAGGTGGAAGTTCCATTTACACAGATTCTTCCCCAGAACTTCTGCATTTTGGAACAGATTCTCGAGAGCCTATTTTCCCGCTCACTAGACTCTTAACCTCTTCAAGGGTCAACCGTTTTCTATCCTAATTAGCCTTATAATATGCGTATTTTGCGCTCTCCTCGTACGCCCATATAACAACGTCATTTAGTAAATTTGTAAATTGGGTGGCTCTTAGGCCATGTATTGGGTGATCAATGATAATAAAATAATAAACGAAACAACAGAAAGTAATTTTAGAAAGAAAGACAATATTGCCTCAGCTTCGTCTGACAGAAAATCGGAACAAAATGACACAGAGTACGGAGAAAAAAAAACTCACCAACAATTGTTTGAAAAGCAAATCATAATGATTCGGACGGCTATTTTCATAATCCAAAACGTAAACTTGGGCTTAAATCTTTTCAAGGCCTGTCGGAGGGAAGGTTTGGTTTGATAATCGAATATTGTAGTTCATGTGGTCACATTACTCAAGAAAAGCTTATATTAAAACTTATGATTCATTTATAAACATGATTTTTTTCTTAATTATCATGGCTTGATTGAAATATATAAATACTAGCCGAATTACACGCGCCTTGCGGGTCACACATTTTTGTAAGAAGATGCTGATTAATTTTAAATCATTGTTATGATTTGTGTAGGAAAATGATGCATTTCAGTAATACTCAATGATATTGGCGATGTGACCTCCTTCTTCTGGATTTCTCCTTCTATATTTTGGATAGAAGTCATTCCTTTGTTCAAAGTTACATTTAATTAAAAGCAGAGGGAAAATATTAGTAAAGAGGGTGCAAAAACAGCTTGATCTGACAGCTTTGATATGCATTTGATGCAATAATTGAGTGAATGAATTGATGAGCAGATTTCAACATTGATATGACATTTGAATTGTCGCAACAGATATGCATTGTAAGTGGTGATTTTTTGCTCAACTTGACGTCCATATTGTCTCATTTTAATCTTGCCGATGTGACCTCCATCTTCTGGCTTTCTCCTTCTATATTTTGGATAGGAGTCATTCCCTTGTTCAAATTTAAATTTAATTTAAATCAAAGGGAAAACAAATTTTCAATGGAACTTTGTGCATACAACACCCCCCCCCGCCCTGGGAATCCTTTGATCAAAATATCTTGCCAATGTGATCTCCATCTTCTGTTTTTCTCTTATATTTTGTATAGGATCCATTCCTTGTTCAAATTTCAATTTAATTTATATCAAAGGGAGAAAACAGATTTCATTTGGGGGTACCACCCCACACACCGGGACCTATTTGATCAAAATGAAATATACTTATCCAAGTACCCTGGACAATTTATTTTCGGAATAATGTATTATATACATTATTTACATTACTCAGACTATTGTCCTCATCTTTGTCACCATATTTATAAACGGATAAAGGCGTTGGTTAGATCCAGTGACAAGACCCAAAGAGTATGAGTTTAATACCCGGTTAAGGATGTGGAGAACTTTCAGAGGAAAAAAAAATTAACAGGAGATAATTGATAGCTGACATCCATCAAACATGGCACGTGGAACTAGAACAGTCTACCCCATTGAGCGAAATAAAGGGTTCAGTTCGACATTCCAACCACCTGAAGAAGGCCGGAGCGTACAACGGCCGAAACGTTGTGATAAATATGGCGACAGAGATGAGGACAATAGTCCGAGTAATGTAAATAATGATTTCTATTTCTAACATGGATAAGCACATACAAAAATTTTGTAACTATAATATGGATCGGAGTATTATGAAATATTATTTTTTAAGCATTTCACCCCAAGCAAGGCGGGAGTGCCACTAGTACCCAAGGGGTTACAGTGAGTGGGAGCAAGAGCAAAGAGACGTGATTGAGGAAAGGATTAAAAAAAAAGGACGGGGAATGAGATCAAGGCATCAGGAGATGTCGATTGACATAACATTTGAATATTTGAAGACCTTAACTGTCAGGGAAGCAACTAAGGAGAAGGTAGTTCCACAGATGGGAAGTGCGAGACATGAAGCTGTTGGAGTAGAAGAGACGTTTCAGCAGTGAAAGGGTTGGACCGAGATGCCAAACTAGCAACACGCTTCAATACATGCAGTTTGGGAATCACCGAAAATAGCTGATCGGAGCAGTTACCGTGAAAGTACTTGTAGAAAAGATAGAGAGAAGCGATGGCACATCTGTGAGAAAGTGAGCGTAGACGAGAAGCCAGACGATGGCCAACCATATTGCATATCCATCTCTGGATTTTGTCGAGGGCTTGAGACGAACAGTGGGGGCTCCAGACCCTATATGGCATCAGTCTTCCATGCAAGGGCGAATGGTTGATTTACAGATTTCAAGGATGGTCTCAGTCGAGAAGAAAACTTTCTGGCGACTAAGTGAGGATAGGAAGATATAGAACATTGCTTTCTGTAACATGGATTGGAAGTTATAGAAATCTAGTGTATGTAACATGGGTAGTTAGTTAAACACAGAAAGAGTAAAACTCTAGTTTCGGTCAGTTTCCGTTTAAATGAATGGTAGATATACAATATGCCCTCTAAGCTAACATTATTCTGACTCAAATTTATAATAGTGTGTCACCTAATGGAGGTGAAATTCAATGTACACGTTAATGAATGTCGAGTTAAGCAGAAAAAGAGAAAGAAAGAAAGAGAGAGAGAAAAAGAAAGAGAGAAGAAGAGACAAAATGGAAGAATAAAAAAGGATGTGGACCGGAAATCATGTGAAGCCGTGCAGATGAGAATCTCGCAATGAAGTCGAAAGAAAAGTTGATTGGCAATTATGGCGGAAGAAGAAAACAACAACAACAAAAAAGAATGGATGGAATAATTAGACTAACGAAAAAAAAAAAGGAAGAATATCAAATGCAGAGTGAAAAAAGAAAGAAAGAAACACTGAGAATGAACGAATAAGGAAAAAGAAAGAGCCCCCTTGACCCCCCCTCCAAAAAACAAAAATAAACGTAACACACACACATAGTAATAACGAATGGAATTAATACACAGAAAAGAATAATCTAGAAAAGTCCATTTGTGATTGCCTCACAGACATTAACATGTTTAATAGCATTTGACGCAAGTGATTACTGAGATTTTTTCTGCGCGGGTGGAGAGGGATAGAAAGACGAAAAAGTTTTCAGAAATAACCTTTAATCGTTTCGAAGTCGATTTGGGGGAAAACTCCCGAAAAGTATTGAACGTTAATGTTTCTTCTCTACATGTTGTCATTATCACAACGTTCCGACCATTGTACATTCCATCTTCATCAGATGTTTATCGATTAGGGTAGCCATCACTGAAACTGGACCCATTATTTAATCTCCAGTGGTAAATTGTTCTCGCTCCGCAGGGCATGTTTAGGGGTGTATCTTGTCGAGTACTTTTTTCTAGTACTGCTGACCTATTGATCGTCCTGTTTCGCGTCCGTGTACACACTACCCGCCCCAAGGATTGATCTTACAACGACTACAATTCACGGACCTATGGCTTTAATCCCGTTTTTTTCTTTCACTGCATTTGAAAATAGGTTTGGTCACCTCGCCGTGGTGTAATGGTTAGCAATGGCTAAAAAACGACAAAAAACGATTAAAAGAATGCATAAATTTCTTTATTCTTTTATGAGACAAGAATGATTAAAATAAATTAGAAAATAAGTAAATTATCAAAAAACGAACAAAAGAAAGAAAAAAGAAGATGGAAGCGAGTAACAAAAAGATGTATTATGATATAAACTCAGATAAAATGGAATAAAATTATAGACAGCTATTTCAAGAAGAAATGGTAATCTCGAACCATTCTCGCTATAAAAATTGTAAGATTACAACGGATAATGTTTACTAAAGAATTATTTTGTGTATCCCAAGCTTGTCTCGCTGAAACAGTTACGACTGAATAGTGAGTTCGGTCGTCACCGGGTGCCCCAACTTTCAGCCTTGTGCCACATCTACGCTACGCTTAAAAATATCATCGTAATGAGTGACGGTTTCAAAATATTATTTTAATAATCATATTGAGCCTCTGATCAACTACACACTTGAGTCGCACTATTTCATCGACATTTAATTGACAGTTCAATCGTGATTACGTAGCCTTGTAAGTGATGAATTGTTTTCCAACTTACAACCCCTAGACGAATCGTCCCTCGCCTATTATCTCTCGCTATTTCCATGGCAAATGTTGAGACGAGCCTCATTCCTTACTTTTACCAGTTCAAACCATTATAGCTAAGACACGTCACTCATTTCCTCCACGAACAAGAAAGAAGTTCTACTCAGGCATCTTCTTCCTGAGAACCGCTACTTTCCGAAACAAACTCCCGAGGGACAATTTTCCAATCACTGCAACCTTAACATGTTAAAGTCTATGGTGAGCCGTTATTTATTCTACATAGCTGCTAATCTAGATATACCTCAGCCATTAAGTAAATACATCAATCCACTTCTCTAAGCCTCTACCTTGGGTGGCTCTTGGATATTATATTGGGTGAACACACGCTCACACACACACACACACACATATATATATATATATATATATATATATATATATATATATATATATATATATATGAAGAAAAAATATACGGAAAAACAAACAAAAATCCTAATATGCAATTATGCTGTTTTAATGTTAATATAATGTCAATGTCGGACGTTTCGGTCTAATAGACCATCTTCAGGACATATTCATAAAACATAATTAACATTAGACTATATTCAATTCAACATGAAAAAGACGATGGACATAAGAGTAAAGACTAATCCAAACAGATAACTGAAATTCTTTTATAAGATCAGCATTCCGTTTTTTATATATATATATATATATATATATATATATATATATATATATATATATATATATTATAAAAGTATAGCAATATATTGGTACATTGATGACGATCTGTTTACTCCGACATCAGTCTAATATATATATATATATATATATATATATATATATATATATATATATATATATATATATATATGAGCTATGTAAAGTACCAGGTTGAGAACTAGCACGGTCTAGCTTCCCTTGATGAAGGTGAAAGGAGTCTCTCTGAGATTTGGTTAGGAATCCTTTTAGTGTTAGTTTCACGATAAAAATAAAAAATAAAAAAAAAACTTCAGATGGGAAAGAAAACTCATGACAGCTTAACCCGGTCATTATATTGCATGTGTCTGCCGAGAGGCGTGTACTGGCTGATATTGATTGTGATCCGGAGAGGTTAAACTCCGCGATAATAACACATGAGGACTGTCGTTCGGAGTTTCCGTGGCAAGTTTTTTGCAACGTTACTTTCTTATTGACAGATCCCAAAAGTATGGATGGTCCGAAACAAGCCTTCACCACTTGAAACAAATCATTGTGTTGGTTTTCTGACAACTACATCTAATCGGTTCCACACATATTCGGCTACTGCGAAAAACTCTACGAAACAATATCAGTTTCATCGTGGCACTTGAAATGTATGAATTTTCCAGGACAACAACTCATCATCAGAACGAAATACAGCTCTGGTCGCATTGGAGTTAAAGAAGTACAACATTGATACAGCTGCACTGAGAAGTAACCATCAGTCGATAACATGAAAAGAGAAAGCAAAATAAGACATCTAACAGTGTTCCTGCTGCCCTTGTGTACAATACCTTCTTCTGTATTGTTGGTGGTCTTTTGTGCAAATCTCGAACCGGTCTCAAAAATCATGACCTTGATAGGCATGCAGATAATTAGTTCGTGGTCGTCGGAATCTCATACATGGAACACGATGGGAGAGTCCGTCATATATATATATAAAGGATTGTATGTATGTATGTATGTATACTAAAACCATCCTCTTCAGCCCATATGAGGTTGGATAAAAAACCTTACATATCAATTAAACTCCACCGAGACAATTAAAATACGCTTGCTTTTCTTTTCTTCTTCTTCTTCTTCTTCTTCTTCTTCTTCTTCTTCTTCTTCTTCTTCACATCCCCCTTCCCTTTCTATCACACCCAACGTCTTCTTCTTCTTCTTCTTCTTCTTCTTCTTCTTCTTCTTCTTCTTCACATCCTCCCCTTCCCTTTCTATCACACCCAACGTCTTCTTCTTCTTCTTTTTCTTCTTCACATCCTCCCCTTCCCTTTCTATCACACCCAACGTCTTCTTCTTCTTCTTCTTCTTCTTCTTCTTCTTCTTCTTTTTCTTCTTCTTCCTTCTCCACATCCTCCGCTTCCCCTTCTATTACACCCAACGTCTTCTTCTTCTTCTTCTTCTTCTTCTTCTTCACATCCTCCCCTTCTCTTTCTATCACACCCAACGTCTTCTTCTTCTTCTTCTTCTTCTTCTTCTTCTTCTTCTTCCTTCTCCACATCCTCCGCTTCCCTTTCTATTACACCCAACGTCTTCTTCTTTTTCTTCTTCTTCTTCTTCTTCTTCTTCTTCTTCACATCCTCCCCTTCCCTTTCTATCACACCCAACGTCTTCTTCTGCTTCTTCTTCTTCTTCTTTTTCACATCCTCCCCTTCCCTTTCTATCACACCCAACGTCTTCTTCTTCTTCTTCTTCTTTCTTCATCCTCCTTCCCTTTCTATCACACCAACGTCTTCTTCTTCTTCTTCTTCTTTTTTCTTCTTCACATCCTCCTTCCTTTCTATCACACCCAACGTCTTCTTCTTCTTCTTCTTCTTCTTCTTCTTCCACATCCTCCCTTCCCTTTCTATCACACCCAACGTCTTCTTCTTCTTCTTCTTCTTCACATCCTCCCCTTCCCTTTCTATCACACCCAACGTCTTCTTCTTCTTCTTCTTCTTCTTCTACATCCTCCCCTTCCCTTTCTATCACACCCAACGTCTTCTTCTTCTTCTTCTTCTTCTTCTTCTGCTTCTTCTTCTTCTTCTTCTTCTTCTTCTTCTTCTTCTTCCTTCCACATCCTCCCTTCCCTTTCTATTACACCCAACGTCGTCTTCTTCTTCTTCTTCTTCTCCTTCTTCTTCTTCTTCTTCTTCTTCTTCTTCTTCTTCTTCTTCTTCATCCTCCTTCTTCTTTTCTATCACTTCTTCAACTTCTTCTTCTTCTTCTTCTTCTTCTTCTTCTTCTTCATCCTCCTTCCCTTTCTATCACACCCAACGTCTTCTTTTTCTTCTTCTTCTTCTTCATTCCTTCTTCTTCTTCTTCTTCTTCTTCCTTCTCCACATCCTCCGCTTCCCTTTCTATTACACCCAACGTCGTCTTCTTCTTCTTCTTCTTCTTCTTCTTCTTCTTCTTCTTCTTCTTCTTCACATCCTCCCCTTCCCTTTCTATCACACCCAACGTCTTCTTCTTCTTCTTCTTCTTCTTTTTCTTCTTCACATCCTCCCCTTCCCTTTCTATCACACCCAACGTCTTCTTCTTCTTCTTCTTCTTCTTCTTCTTCTTCTTCTTCTTCTTCTTCTTCACATCCTCCTCTTCCCTTTCTATCACACCCAACGTCTTCTTCTTCTTCTTCTTCTTCTTCTTCTTCTTCTTCTTCTTCTTCTTCATCCTCCTTCCCTTTCTATCACACCCAACGTCTTCTTCTTCTTCTTCTTCTTCATCCTCCTTCCCTTTCTATCACACCCAACGTCTTCTTCTTCTTCTTCTTCTTCTTCTTCTTCTTCTTCTTCTTTCCTTCATCCTCCGCTTCCCTTTCTATTACACCCAACGTCGTCTTCTTCTTCTTCTTCTTCTTCTTCTTCTTCTTCTTCTTCTTCTTCTTCTTCTTCTTCTTCTACATCCTCCCCCTTCCCTTTCTATCACACCCAACGTCTTCTTCTTCTTCTTCTTCTTCTTTTTCTTCTTCATCCTCCTTCCTTTCTATCACACCCAACGTCTTCTTCTTCTTCTTCTTCTTCTTCTTCTTCTTCTTCTTCATCCCCCCTTCCCTTTCTATCACACCCAACGTCTTCTTCTTCTTCTTCTTCTTCTTCTTCTTCTTCTTCTTCTTCTTCTTCTTCTTCATCCTCCCCTTCCCTTTCTATCACACCCAACGTCTTCTTCTTCTTCTTCTTCTTCACATCCTCCCCTTCCCTTTCTATCACACCCAACGTCTTCTTCTTCTTCTTCTTCTTC